ATTTTCGAACCTCCCAAAAAGGGTGTAATTGCCCATTTTTAACGGATTTTTACCGTGAAAAGGTCACCTAGAATTTTTGGGAGCCTTTTTTCTGGCTGAAATTTTCGAAGAGGTAAGTTTTGATCCCTATAATTTTCGGATTCACTACAGTTTAAATACTAAAATATGTTCGACAATCCTATGTTTAAGTGGTTTTGAACTATATTTCCGTTGGGTGCCCCTGACTCCTGAATTCTCACGTCTTAATAACATATTAATAGCTGGCTGATGAAAGGTTTACTGAAGAACTTAAAAATTACTAAAAAGCCACTGCTGTCTGACGTTTCAATAATACGGCTACTATAGCTCATTGTCAAGGCAAAGAGACTGTTTCTTTGAGGTTTGAGTATCATAGCAAATAACAAATATTGTTTTGTTTCTTTCATGGTTAATAATTTAGCGTGAAAAGAGTCAGAAGACAACACTGTGTTCGCCTCTTGTCTTCGCTGATTTACATTCAAACCACGGTATCGCGGTAGTCTCATCGAAACTTCGGACACGGACAGCCTTAGTTTTTGACAGACGGAATATTAACGTTTAAGTTACAGAGGCGCCTCACTAAACAAGACCACCATAAACTGGGGGTTCATGGTTCATTGGGTCGCCGACTGCTGCATGATGCAGTGGTTTATTATTTTGGGGGCTCACTCATCATCTTTCCCGCGCTTTTAGTTGGGAAAATCGACCAATCACCAGCGTTGTGACACATGGCAAGTTGTGACACAAGTCATAAAATTGCATATTTGTCGCAAAAAGTAGAACTCAGGCCTACTTTGCGCAACATGTTGCCGCAATCTGCAACATTGAAATTTGTTGCGTGACAAGTTGAGAGCGAAGGTCTCGGTGGTAATAAGTGTAACAACGCTTTTCAACTTGTAATGCAACAATGTTGTGCGACATGTTGAGCGAAAACGTTGCCCGTATTACTTAACCTTTACGGAGAGTATCCAGAATCTCGTCTTCATCGCATTCCAATTACGTCAGTAACTTAACGCATGACTTATACTTTCTATGAAAACGGTCATGGACACTGTAGAAGTAATGCCCATGTCTTCGTCTTTCCAAAGGGTTAGGATCACGGGTCAACGAGGGGAATATGTCGGGGAATATAACGAAGAAAATTGGGGAGAGGAAAATTCACGACATCGCTTTGAGTTCGAAGAAAAGGGGTGGGTAGCCTGTGTAGCTGGCGGATTTTGTTTTGCGCTTGTAAGAGCTTTGGCAGCGGAGCTGTCTTTCTCGCGGCTTTGCTGAAGGCGCGAGAAAATTCCGCTTGCCGGATAACTTGGCTTTTTTGAATGCCGCCCACTTTAAGCACCACGTTAAAACCAATTATAACAGCCAAACAGTTGTATGGGTCTAATGCGAAAGCTAAATGTTTCAATCACCAGCACGTGAGTAAACACACAGCCAGCAAACGAGGACGACCTGCAAGCAAAGTTGCAAAATGAAATGTGTATGACGTAATAGAAAGTAAAATCCAGGGATTTTCTCAAGACAGTGTATCTTTCGAAGGAAAACTTGTTTCAGCGCTGACAGTGACGAAACTGCGTCAGATTTGTTGTTATTGAAGCCACATTATAACTTGATAGTTCCATAGCTTTGTAATTTAAAGACTCCCTCTCGGTTATTTGGTCCTCCATAAAAACTTTCAGCGGCTAAACAAAGATAGAACAACGTAACTATTTGTGGACAAAATATCTTTCCTCACGAAACCGAAGATCTTGATTATGATATTTTTTGTTTACAAAAACCATTCGGCAGCCGGCAGCAAATAGATCGTTGCACCGAATAGAATTTCCTTTGCAGCCGCTTCCTATTCTTTCTTTAGCAAAATTTTGCCTTCTTTTTGAGCTATCTATAAGCCATCCTCGATCAATGGTTGACATTTTAAAAACAGCTATATATCTTTGAGCTTTAGATAGGCCATCCTAGGCTTGTTCAATGGTTGACATTACAGCAACATCTCGCAGAAAACAGCACAGTTTAGAAATGTTATGTTTGGTAACGTTTCCAATGGGAGACGTGTAAGCTCACCAAAAGCGTTTGATTGACGTGTTTTTTTCTCAACCAATCAAAAATTTCCTTCCGCCCTCAGTGATCAAACCATTAAAAAAACCATATGATGGTTTTCGGGCAGGCGGGATTTCAAAGGGTCTCCTCCCCATTCTCCGCACGGCTTCACAGTTCCTCTACCAAATCTTTGCAAGCGCTAAGTAACAATCCCGCCGGCTACACACGTTAAGGGGTGAGGGAATTCAAACTTTTGTAAAATCGAAGATCCCACGTGACGGGGGGTGACAGCTCTAACAAGGGCTGTTTCGGGAGAAAAACAAATTTATTCCGGGAATCTGGAGATTTTGCCGGGAATCGGGAAACATGGGAAATTTTTCGGGAAATATGAGATATTTTCGGGACATTGAGCAAAGATTTGATATTACATGTTATCAAACAATATATATGCAGTGATATGCACCCAGTGTATGCGCTGTATTCTATGTATTTTGACACTTGAAAATGGCTGAACTCTCCATGATATGAAAAGACCAATCAGCAACGTTTCCAACTAAAATAGCATGAAGTTCGAGTGCGATTGGCCACGTGCAATCCCCAGCGGATTGACTCAAGAACCGTACCGGTGCAAGGCACACACTATCAGTTCACACCAGATCGCATCATTTATTAGTTCAGGGGTATTTTACGCTGCACGTTAACGAGTTTTAAGAGCACATTCCACTGATTGCATACTGGAAAACGTGAAAGAAGTACGTAAGAAGTATGTAGGAAAAAAACGAAACTTAATTAACCTTGTTAAACACAAATGAGGCCATAAAAAGTAGTATGTCTGTGAAGACTCTTTAATCATCCTGATCTCGTCGGGGTCCTTCCGATTTTGCTCGAAAATCCCGAATCTCGATCAATATGCGTTCGGGATAGGAAAATTTCAGATTTTGACATTTCTGAAATTTTCAAATGAATTCTTAGGATACTCATACAATGACACCACACAGAGGATACTTACTATAGCTGAAAATGATATCCAGAACAATTTCAAAAACCGCACAACTTGTATAAAATAAAATTGACTACTTCTACGCGAAGTCACGCCAGTAAAAATAAGCATAAAAAGGACAATTGATTTAGAGAACATTTTGGACAGAATTTGTCCTCTCAGAACACTAGAAATGGCGTTTCAGAGCACTAAGATTTCAAAATTTTCTGGGGGAGCATGCCCCCAGACCCCCCTAGTGGTTGGTCCCTTCACTGCTCGCCTGATTCATCGGTGATTGAAAAACCAAAAAAACGATTTTATATACTTAAAGAGTTTGACAGTCTTTCTGTGTTAACATGATACCCTCTAAACGAAAAAATAACTAAGGTTAGATAATTAACGGGTTACATAATTAACAAGAAGCTGCAAAAAATCTCTAATCAAAATTTTAATTATAATTGTTTAAAAAAATTTGGGAAGTTAAACATTTATTGGGAATGCCACCGAAAAATTCGGGAGGGTCGACGAAATTTCCGGGAGAACATAAAGTTATTCATAGAAGAGCCCAAACAGCCTTTGTTAGAGTTGTCACTCCCCGTCACGTGCTTTATCTCTTTCACCATTTCGTAAATATCGAGACGGTGAATTACGCGTTTTTGAGCCGCAGAATTCTTCAAATAGAGACCTACAGATGTCTTTCTTGAGGACTGGGAATGAACTAGCACACTATCGTGCCCTAATCGAGATGCATAGAACGGTGACTCGGGCTAGAAAAAAATGCAGTTTCCAGCGCTATATCCTGCTTACCTTTGTAGGCCATCTTTCTCATCTTTCTTTTAAACTTCTCATTCCTCATAACAAATCGCAGAAAAATAAGCGAGAAAAGGTGCCAAACATATTAAAATCAGTGTCTCCCTGACCTCCGTTACTGATCTGTCTTTAAATGTTCTTTTCCTGTCGTGAGTTTTTCGAATAAAAATATTATATTGATTCTCTATGCCAATTAAAAAATGAATGAATAAGTGAAATCTTATCCACAACTATCATAGAAAGCATAGCTAGCAGGATTAGATTGCCCGGGGTCGCGGCGAAGGGACGAAGGAATTTTCCCATTCTTCTTGCGGCTTTATAGCCAAATTCGTTTCACGGGTGCTTTTATAGTCCTTGCTTACAGCCGTTCGCAATAAATTCCACCAGCTTTATGCAGACTACAAGTATCATTAAAATTCCAGTGAATCAATCAAGTGAAGCCTTGCTATTTGAGGCGGATATCAGGGGGAGTTTTCTTTGAGAAACAGTTGATCCGGGCGACTTTGCCTTGTTAAATTCCCCCACCCCTGGGGGAAATTTTCAACTTTGCACAGGCCATTTCACAATCCCCCTGGCTGGCCTGGGGTCCTACCCCAGGGGGAAGCCAATGACATGTGCATAAACCCAAGCAGCGTTACTCTATAACCTGACTAATAGAAAAAGGAGTCTCAATCTTTAATTCTTTATGAAAACGTGCAAGTGCTAGTTCTCGCCCTTTGATCTCATAATTTTACTCAATTTTTATGTTTGGGTTTTTCGTCAGACAAAAATTAGTACAATTATAAACTATGAATCGTAAAGTTATATGGTAATGGATTTATATTGGTCGGTTACTGTGCTTTTCAATATACGCGAACTCTCAAGTTTAAAAACTAACTACACAATTGTATTTTTCACTGTCGTCAATCACAGTAACGATCACAAGAAACGAACCCTCAAGCACAGAAAGAAAAACAAAAAAACGGATTGAAATCTACTAATCACAGACCATTACCTTATCAGCTCGTTGAACTAATTAAAACTTATGTTTTCTCCGAGGTCCGCTAAGAGTATTGGCGGCAACAAAGAACTCAAACGTTAGTTGGCTTTTGAACTTTAAAGTTCGCTTGTTTTTTTTACAACCACAGTGAAAACTGATTTTTCCCTAGATCCCAGAAAAATGGCAAACAATAAGTACAGAAAGATTACCAGCACTGAACACTCAGGAAGCGTGAGCTCTTTCTCATCTCTATTTTTCCAATGGATCAACATTCTTATAAAGACAGGGAGTGAAAGAGCTGTTGATAAAAATGATCTTTTACCTCTTAAAGAAGAAAACACTACTTGGTCTTTGACAGAGGAGCTTCAGGCAAAATGGACCGAAGAAACAGCTAATAGCAGAATTCAGGATGTTAAACCAAAACTTTGGAAAAGTGTATTTAAGATGCTAACGGCGAAGGACTCAGTAGTCCTCATTACAGCTGGCATTATAAACACAATTTGCCGCATTCTCCAACCATTGCTTCTTGGGTACCTTATAAAATCTCTGATGATTACAAAGCTACAACACAATTATTTTCTCTACGGCTGTGCTTCCGCATTGGGGATAAATGAATTGATCTGTTCTCTTAGCATGCACCAATTTGAATACCGATGTGAGGTGCTTGGAATCAGAATCAGCAGCGCCCTTAAAGGATTAGTCTATATGAAGGTAAATTACTTGAAGAATTAAGATAAAATCCATTAGGAAATTGAGTAATTTTAATTTTCAGGGGACAGAAACCTTGTATCAAAATAATTACAAGCTTATTGCATTTTTTTCACATTTTTCAAGGGCTATGAATGTAATAAATTGTATGAAATAACTCCGACGAAAAGGTTCTTGTTGGAGCCCGAGAAGACAAACTTGAAAAGCCTCAAATTTCACAAAATGAAATCTTTTGCACGACGATTTTACCTGTGTTTTCTCAATTCCTGTGAAATTTGAGGTTCATTTTCTCGGGATCCCGTAAGAAATTGTCTTTGGTGTTATTACAGATAACTAATTACATCTATGGCCCTTGAAGAGTGTAAAAATGAATGCCTAAAGGTTCAAAAATTCTGGTATGAGGTTCTTGTCCACTGAAAATTACAGATTTAAAGATGGATTCCGTCTTAATTCAAGATGTCAAGTAGGCCGAACTTAAAGGTAAATCAAGGGTTACCTTAAAAACACTACGCTGTCAGCGATGGCTGAGAAAGTGAAACAAAACGAATGATTTTTATTAGCTGAATCAATATAATCAATTTACCAATGCTAGTTCTCAAGCTAGCCTCTTCTTAAAGCGAATAAACTTATCAAGAGAAAAACAAGAGAACAACAGTATAGTTTTTATAGTCACTATGACAACAACAGAAAAACAACAATAAAAGACAGCTACTGACCTTTTGTATGGGTTTTCATGAAGAGGTCCTGGGGAAAGAAAAGAAAAATCGATTGTTTTATGGTGGCTCCATAGGGTTTTTTAGGGGCAATACTTATCAAGTTTAAGTATTAAATAAGTCGCCACTTGACAAAGATTTGGGAAAATGACTGCAACAGCTGTATTAGATAAAGATGAAAATTTGTTGTGATTAGTGTTACAAGGTCATCGGAGTGTCTATAGCAACGAAATGACGTCATTACTCATGTTACTTGCAGCCGTATTTCTTGGCACTGAGAGGCTTTTTCTCCAAAATCGTTCCCGGGAGCGTTTTTCTCCAATAGCTGCCTCGATGTACGTGAAGTTTGAGTGTTTTGTTGGGTACTGATGTTCACGTGAAAATGAATCTTAGAGAAAATACCCTGAATAATGAGACGCTGTCACTAGTAAACACGAAATTTCGAACAAGAAAATAGAGCATTGTAGCCCTTATTTTATTGCCTTACAAGTTGTCAATGATCTTGAAACTAAAAGGTCATATAAAAGGACGGTTAATCACGAGAAACTCGAAATCTTAACATGATCTATGGAAAGATTTCAAAATTGTTTGATCATTTGTTAAAGTAAACCAAACTATTTTACAAAAACCGCTAACAAGAGCACCTCAGTGCAGGCTAATCAAATCCCGCTTTCCTGAGATAGGCTAAAGCTATCCCAGTGATCTTTTCAAGCAGGTTTTACTATTAGGTAAATTTGCATTTCAAGAGAGCTTCGTTTTCGTAAGAGAACGTCCGAACATCAAGATTATTCAGAATTTGCTGAATTTCTGATCATAAATTTGTCCCAAAAATATCTCGATAACCCTGTCATAGATTTCGCTCAAACTTCAAGAAAATCGAGGCAGCTGTTGGAAGAAAAAGCACCCGTGAAAGATTTTAGAAAACCCCTCCCAGTGTCGAGAAATATAGTCTCCTTCGCAGCCGTTATTAGGGTCGTCACTCGTCACGCAACGCTCCTCCGCTTTGCTTGACGAGTGACGACCCTAATAACGGCTGCGAAGGAGACTACGAGAAATACGGCTGCAAGTAAAATAGGTAATGACGTCATTTCGTTGCTATGAGGCTCCGATGTCATTGCAACACTGATCATAAAAAATTTTCATCTTTGTCTTATAAAGCTGTGGTGGCCATTGTTCAAATTTTTGTTTATGGCAACGCACAAACTTGGGAGGTAAAGTCCCTGAAAACCCACCTACGAGCCACCTAAAACGATTATTCACACCCGAACTGAAAATGACAACAAAGATCAAAGTTAAACACTTCCAAAGTTTTCATTAGAATAGACAATGGCAATCATCACCACCACCACTACCATCACCATCATCATCATTAAAATAATCTTTTTCATAACCCTCAACATCATCATCGTCGTTGTCATCGTCGTCATCATCATCATCATCATCATCATCATCAGTCCTTTTCGTGCCCAAAGACACATACGTGGCGAAATAACCAAAAGACCATTCTCTGGATTTTAAGTATCGATATACTGTCATAAAAGTTGTTAAAACGGAGCTCTTCTTGCTAGCGACGACCTTATGTAAAGATAGATTCATCAACTTTGTGCTTTCTTGCAGACCCTTCTTCTCAGCAAGGATTCATTGCTTAGGTTTTCATCCGGTCGAGTTATTGATCTCGTATCAAACGATGTTCAGCGAATTGAGGGCGATACTTTCCAGTTGTTTTTTGAGGGAGCTCGATCTCTTATGGAGCTCGTAATCGTAACATTTTTACTTGTCAACCTAATCGGATGGCAGGTTGTGATGGGAATCCTTTTACTGTGTATGCTGATGCCATATTTCGCTGGATTTTCCTATGCTGGAGCTATACTGCGCCTGCGTACAGCAGCGCTTTCTGATCACCGGATCACGTTGATCAAAGAGGTTGTTACTGGGATTCGCGCAATCAAAACAAATGCATGGGAAGATGAATACAGAGAAAAGATAAAAAACGTGCGAAGGTAAGGAAACTTTAACACAATACACAAACACAAACAAACAAACTTTATTTACCATATACTAACGTTACAAAACAATTACCTGGATAGATTGTCCAGGAAGGAACTAAACCGACTTGTTATAAACACAGTTACACGTGCAAAAATATTGCTTTTTCCTATAAAAAAAAGTTCCCCTTTGCGAAATTTAGCACAAAGGGTTTTAAGAGCTATGTCCTAAAAGTAATTAATCAGAACAAACCGCATACCGAAGACGTATTTCCGGTCGTCGCTAACACGCGTACTAAATCAATTCAGAAACAATTCAGAAAAGTAAATGTCCTGAAGAATACTCGAAGTCGATAATTAGGAAGTAAAAAAAACCTTACGGGAGTAAATCCTGTTGCGTTGAGAATTAATCGCCTCCTCTTTTCTCGATCTATTCTTCAAGCAAGCGAGACTGAACGCCGCTGTAAGAGCTTTCTTTTTCCGGCACAAATTGTCAACAAAATCAAAGGATTGTGCACCGTCAGGGAGATTTCAACATAAACTACAGAAATCTTACCTTTCATTTTGATTTGTTTTGCTAACATGCTAAATTATTCGATATCTTCGGTTTTGTGGGACCCATTTTCCCTAAAAACTCTTCTCGAAGAAAGCTCTCCTGCACGAGCAGGACAGGTATGGAGAACAGTCGAGTCTGCAGGTAAACTCCTTCGTATAAGAAACTCAAGAAAGCAGTGTGATCGATGATGGCCTCCGATTGGACACAAAAATATTTGTTGTGCCCAATCAGAGACAAGCATTCGAATGAGTCGTGGAACTCGTTCTTTAAGCATAGCATCCCAGAGGCTCTTTCTCTCATTCTTGAAAATTTTCGCAGCCGTTTTTCCCGACCCAACAGACCGCTCCTGGGTCTCCAAGGATGTTGTGGTCGTTGATCAAAAAGTGGTCTACTGTTCTGTTTTTGAGCCACTTAAGCCCTTCTACTAGGTCTGGGAATTGCGTCTCTGTACACGTTATTGGCGTCAAAGTACAGGATTTTAACTATAGCTTTTTTGCGATAATTTTCTTACCTCCGTCACTCAAGGGGGGAGTTACCAGCACGGATTCCATTTTCGACGAAAATGTGCATGCAATTGTCTTTGAAAATCTCCAGCTTAATGTTCGCCTTTTTCAAAAGCGCTTCCCAGCTCAAGCTCGCCGGCGTGATATAGTTGTTTGCAAGGGCCAGCTGATACTGCTTTGAGAAGTTAAGCTAAGTTTCGCAGAACTGTGGAAGTTTTCAAAAACATATACCAGAAGCAGCAAGTCAGTTGTGAGGTACAAGTAGTGATAATGCCCCTAAGTTTTGCACCTAAAAGCTTTTTAAACCTTCTGCGCGTGGTCATAATCAGAGTCACTGATTCCCTTCTTCTTTAACGCACTACAAAACGTTTCCTACTGCGACAACTTGTACGGGTGCTCTCCTTTTCTTACTAGCAACTCGAGCGTTTCTTTGCTGTACTCGTACTGCTTCAGAACGTCATCCTTTTTCAGGATGTCCTCTTTAGATTTGTCGCTAATAGCACTCAAACAAATTTTCGAGCCTTTTGGCATCAGCTGATAGCTTTCCCTAAAATGAAGGTTTCCCAGCGAAAACCTTATGTATTGCTCCATATTGTTTGCAAAGTAGTTCTCGTCATTTTCTCCAATTTTCTGTATGGCATGCTGCGCGTCGTAATTTCAGGCGTTGTGGAAAAATTCCTGGGATTTTTGTCTTTTCTGGGCTGAGCATAAAACACGTCATGTTGCAATGCTCCTGTACCGGTTCGCGTAGTTTAAAAATATTCTGCAAGCAGTATTTTAATGGATAATACGGGTCACAACTTTCGAAATCAAAGGTAAAGCGTGGGCAAGTATCAGCAGTGGGTGGAATTCCCATCTTAGAGACATCTCCATGCTGCTACTGAAGAAATTAAGCAAGTGTTTTAATACTTCTTTCCTTCTTTTATTTATAGCGATGAAATCAATTTGATCGGTAAGAAGACCGCTGTTATGTCGGGCGTTGCTGCTCTCCAATACATTTCATCATCAATGGCGACTTTTGTCACTGTCATCACTCTTGTACTAACTGGTCAGCCCCTGACACCAGTTAACGTCTTCACGTTACTCTCCTTTATCAATCTGCTGAGAATGAGCTTCTGTGGGGACCTGTCCTATGCATTCATCCAATCCTATGACGCCTATGTTTCACTGAGACGAATACGAGACTTTCTTCTGTTGAACAACCTTGAATCAAATAACGCCAGAATGTATCAGCAGGAAGGAGCAGAAAAATTCTTACCTCACAAGTTAACAGCTCCTCGACAAAGTAATATCGTAAGCGTGACAAATTTTACCCAGCAAAAGCGACAGATCAGCCTAGACGACGAATTAGTGCTCCAAGATATAAACTTCACAGTTGAAAAAGGAAATTTAACAGTTATAACCGGACCAGTGGGCAGTGGCAAATCTACTCTTCTGTCAGCAATTGCTGGCCAGGTACCAGATCGAAGCGAGGCCATAACCTACAAAGGAGCTGTTGTTTATGTGCCACAAATTCCCTGGATATTCTCTGGAACTATTAGAGAAAACATTTTGTTTGGCGAACAGTACGAGGAAGCTAAGTACAACAGAGTCATTGAAGCATGTGCTTTAACTCAAGACATCGAGAAGTTTCCAGACTTTGACCAAACGATCGTTGGAGAGCGTGGCGTGGTGCTTAGTGGTGGCCAGCGGGCAAGAGTAAGTTTAACACGCGCAGTCTACGCCGAAGCAGACCTTTACTTGTTGGATGATCCCTTAAGTGCTGTAGACTTTAAAGTTGCTCGGCACATTTATAGAGAATGCATAAAAGGCTTACTCGGACAGAAAACCCGATTAGTAACTTCTCATCAGGAACGGGTCATGCGAGAAGCCGATGACGTTATTGTATTATATAAAGGCCGAATGCTGGGTAAGGGAAGTTTCACTGAGCTAAAAGAAAAAGGTATCCTGAATACAACTGTTGAATCAATTAAAGAGAAAGAAAACGAATCGGATTATATTGTCGGTCAGAAAAGTGAAGACGAAGATGACATTCCTGACATGAGTGGTAGACCTGTACCCAGTGAAGTGCGGGGTCTCTCTTTATCAAAAGAAGATCAAGCCATCGGAGCGGTGTCCGCAAGGCTCTACTGGAACTACTTTAGAAGTGGAGTACCTTTGCTGGCAATCATCACAGAAATCTGCTTGTTTCTCATTAGTCACGGTGAGGCCTTAAGATAACCTGAATTATACAGTTATGTATCACCTCACTGGAAAAACTAAGATTTTCACTTATTATTATGTTCATAATTATTCATATTATTATTCATATTCGTTTCTGATTAGCTCCAATCCCCCAGAAATTCTTGTTAGTAAAATCCAACTAGTGTCTATTATCAACACTGCGTTCTGATTGGTTGAGTTGCTACTAGGCTATATATTACAGCCCACTAGTAGTGAAAAGCGCCAGCTTTTTGGCGGCAAAAAGGATTAAAGTCTGCCTTTAACTAGCTAAAAAATTTTTATTCTCGATATTTTTGACCAACTAGTTGGATTTTACTAAAACAATTATTCCTCTCGCCCTATGGCCTCTGAGTCAATAGCCCATGAGGCTGAAATTGACTCAGAGCCCATTCGGACACGAGGAATAATTGTTAAATAACCACCCGGTGGTTATTTGCTAGAAGATGTAGGTAATATACAACCGATACGACTACGCCAAAAAAATAGCTCGATGGAGGTCTTCTACTTTTTAAGGACTTTCTGCAGCAAAAAATAAACCGTGACGAGAAACAAGGAAAGTTTTTGAAGAGATTCCACGAAGAGGTAAGGTTGTTAAGAAAATAGAAATATTTGAATGAATGATAGAACAATTATTGAATTCAGGTTTCATATATCGTAAACTGCCCTCAGCCTTCGGCCTCTGTGGATAACGCCCGCCTTAATCTGAAAATTTTTTTACATCATACTCAGCCTCATTCCAAAATGTTAAGAACTCGCTAAGGGTGATAATATGACTTCGAATGGACATCCGTACTTTAATTTTGACGGATGTGCTGGAAAAAAGATTCTAGAAAGTCAGTTTATTATTGTGCAAAAATAAAAGTAGTTCAAGCAACTTTTCTTTTCAAATCGTCCGACTCCGCATCGTCTGTGAAGAAACATATCCTTAGCCAAAATGTCTTTTCTTTTTAGGGGTTACCTAACTAGGTGAAAATGAGTAAGTGTCATGACTGGCGCTGGCTATTTACCGAAGTGAACCCAGTGTAATTAAATGTCTACGTGAAAACTAAGTGATGTGTGACCGCTGTTATGAAAGTGCAGACCGCTCTATCAAAAATACAAGATTGGTTTTATTGTCAAATTCCGACCGATGTAATTAGAATTGCCCCTCACTAATAAGAAGAGTTTGAATAAGAATAAGATTTTGCCTTTGCATTATGGTTAGGCTGCCATCGTTAAATGTTTTCATGGCGGCAAACGGGAACGACGACAGCGATAGGTAGTGTTGCTCACTTACAGTAGCGTCGTTATGCGATAGTCACCTGACTTGAGCAGTAAAACACTCCAAAAGGAGTGACTGATAACTAAAAAAGACTGTTAACTACCAGGGTTACAGCAAAAACGCAAGGTAAAAGTAAGGAGGAGGGAGGGATGGCATCTAACCTCACCTAAGAACAAGATTATGGTGACTCGTGGAAGAACCAGCAGATCTATACTCGCACAATAGTACGGCAAGGAGAGCAAAAACAAGGCGCGAACCGAAAGAATTGTGTTTTTACTATGATATATCCTATTTTGCAAAGAAATAAATTTTCTTAGATGATAATCTGTGATGAGCTCCACAAGATAATATGAATATTGTGTTTACACATTTAAATATTCAAGAAATATTGAATGACGCTGAGTATGGTAAAGAAAATTATGCCGATCGAGGAGGGTGTTAGGCAACGAGGTCCAAGGCCGAATAAGGGGATGACAGCCTCCGGGAATTACACATCTTCATATCATACAAAAGCCTATCATTATTTTCCTGATATTATTTTTAGCAATCATGGTTTACTGCGATGTGTGGCTGTCACGTCTGACAAAGAAACGTCCAGGAGATCAAACGAATGAGTCAGACCTCATCATCTATGGCTCCCTTGTTGGGACGTCTTTCATATTTCTCTTCATTCGAGCATTTGGTTTCTATCTGCTATCTTTACGATGTTCTGAGTGTCTTCATGATAGAATGGTGGCGGCTATACTCCAAGCACCGGTCTTTTTCTTTGATTCAAATCCCGTGGGAAGAATGATGAATCGGTTTTCTAAAGATATTGGAGCCATGGATGAAGTACTACCCAAAACGTTTCTGAGAGCAATCCAAAGGACCTTGCTGATGCTCACCTCAATTCTTCTACCAACTGTTATAAACCCTTGGCTTCTGTTTGCTGTTATGCCAATAGCTGTGTTAGCGGGACTTGTTTCAAGATATTACTTAAAGACGTCAAGGGAACTAAAAAGATTGGAGTCGATTAATCGCAGCCCCGTCTATTCTCATTTTTCGGAAACCCTCGATGGACTGGAAACGATTCGGACAAGAAACAGGGAAGGAAATTTCATGGATGCGTTTTGCAGGTATGTTACACTTGATGCAGTTTAATCTTTTTTTAATTATCTAAGTTCGTGACCCCGAGTTAAATGAGTACATGATTTAAGCTTACTCTGTAGGGGATAAAGTGAGTGTACGAATCCTTTTTTAAATTTAATCCCCCCATGCCAATAACAGGACATTCTTGGACTTAGTTCACATACAATAATGTTACAACACTATCCCGATGTAGTCAAGAGTACCCCTGTTAAAACGACCGATCTCTGCATTCTCTTGGCCGGCATTTTGGTATGTAGGTCTTCAATTTAACAAATTGACGCCAGCTTGATGACAGAAAAATAAAAAACTGGCGTCAATTTGTTTTTTCACAATAACAAAAGCGCGAAAAAGTCAAATTTGCCGATAAAAATGAAGAAAACAAAACAAAGTTATGGCTTTTGTAAACTAGCGCAATGTTAATTGTCAATAATTTTTCTCGCTTGTTGATTGGCTACCGAAGACAAGCAACGGAGTTTCATTGGCTAAAAATTTAACAGGTTGAGTCACGCCACTGCCCTGCATAAATTAGGAATTTATTGTTTTCCAAACTTCTATTCAGAACAAGAATGAAGTCAGCGATGTTTATTGTGTCGATAAATGGAGGCATTTTAGGGTATCATAAAGTCATAAACTGGCCCACGGTTAAAAACTATTCCAAGGAAACGGATTTTGGAGCCGCCGTTAAAATAACCGAACAAATCGAAGCGATTTACGGTGGAGCGAGTAGCCAAGCAGTTTTGAAAAGTTGCTAACCGAACAGTACAAACAGAAATCGTGTCACTGTTGTTTACTTCAGTTCAAGTCTTGTTTTTCGTTCTGAACACTTATCAGCAATATGAACTGCGTTCAATCAAACCAAAAGGGGGGTTTTACACGCATGTAGTCTTCAATTCAACTTACCAGGTGCTTACAAAGTTTCATAAAGATTTTTTAAAAAAGTTTGTTTTCCTTTCGGTACAAAGAAACTGAAAAACAATCAATACTTTTCGAAAGAAAACTACCGTGATTAATGTCTTTATTTTGAATAAACTAGACTTTCAGAATTGTTTCTTACTATTTTTATCTTTAAAACCATGTATGAATGCTAAAAGCTTTTCTGAATCCGGCGCATTTTTCAAGCAGTACAATTTCTAGCAAATCGTCTTCGCTTTTGGACACTAAGCGTTTTTGTTTAGTTTCCTCTGCTTGAGCTTTTTGTAGAGAATTCAATTAGGATGCATGTGTTGCATCAGAGCTATCTGGCTATTTTTCTCAGTAGACAGAAAGTGAATCTTCTACGAAACTAAACTAAAGAAGTTTGGCATTCGTTTGGCAAATGATCGCTTCTTGCATAACACAAATAGTCTGACATAGTCCCGTCTGCCGGGCTGTCACAACCGCGGACCGAGTGGTGGTATGCTAAACATACGACAAAAAGAAGGTCTATACACCGTATTCACAAATGGCGGACACGCGGGAAAAAACTGGTGCCTAGTCATGAAAGCGAGGCGTTGGAGGATAAACAAAAATTGCAAATGAAGACTTTCAGTGAACTTGCAGAGTGTTTAGCACGGATTCCACCTAAATTAAGTTTGTACGGACTTCTTTTCAAATACAATTACGTGGGATGTCTTCTGCTTTTACTGTTTAGTAGTGATTTGCTCTTTGCAATCAAAAGGGACGCGTATATCTTCAAGGAAACAGGATGATTTTGTAGGTTTCCGAAGCATCAGAAGCTCGACACGACAAGTGGGCGATGACTGGAGAAAAGCGGAAAACATGTTGACCCAAACTTCACACTGAAACCGAATACGAAAGCCAGACCACTACCATTCTGTAAAACAGAAATAAAAACAGATATCGGTGGCGAGAAAAAGAGAAATAAGCGTCGTATATATGGCCTACTTGTCAACGGAAGAGACCTCCGCCATTACACAAAACAGGTCAAGTCGAGAGCGGGTGAAAGATTCATTCACGAGGCTCATTCATTCACGTCAGTGTCATTTTATACATATCTATGTATATATATATGTCTGTATTTACAACTGCCTTTGGATCACATTAATTCCGTCGCTTTGGAGCGAATTGTTCGAGGTACGTTGGCAGAGCTTAGCAAAAATCTCATGATTTCTTTGTCATTGCGAAATAATTAAAAACAATTTTATCAAAAATTAGAAGCTGCTGTGTGTGAATCTTATGGCTTGCTATTTGCCTGGTCTCCTTTTGGGCATTATCTCAGAGAGCTTTTGGTGAAAAAGTGGTATAAAGCTTACATTTTACTAGGTTAAACTTTTAAGGCAATGTTTGTGTCATGACTGAACACGGCAAGCTTCTGTTTCGAATAATTAAATTCGAGTCTGGATCCGTTTAAGAAGACCATCATTTTACAATTATTTATTTATCTATTCTTCAACTTTAAAATATTATGGAACATAAAGTTAAAACTCTTAACAGCCAAAGATAAGAAATACGAAATTACTCGCTGAAATGATATGTGTTCGGCTTACCGAGTCTGCCGAGTAACAAGTTAAAATTTTGAGCGTACTCCACTCGATCGCTCCTGCATTCATACTAAAAAAATAGTTCTAATTGATGTCCTTCACCGATAAAGACCAGAGAATAACGTCCTGGCAAACAAAAACCAAACATAACTTCATCGAAACCTCAGTCACCTGTTCTTTCCTGTCTTCCTTTTTTCCAACTAGACTTGAACTGTTTTGTTCAACGGCAGACGTCTCTTGCGTTAACAAGTAGGCCATATATCTGTCGCTTGTTTCTTTTTTTCTTGCCACCAAGATTTGTTTATATTTCTGTTTCACCGAATTGCAGTGAGCTGGCTTTCGTACTCGGTTTCAATGTGAAGTTTGGGCCAACATGTTTGCCGCTTTTCTCCACCCATCGTCCACTTGTCGAGCTTCTGATGCTCAGGAAACCTACAAAATCATCCTGTTTCCTTGAAGATATACGCGTCCCTTTTGATTGCAAACAGCAAATCATAACTTGACATTAAAAGCAGAAGACATCCGACGTAATTGTATTTAAAAAGAAGTCCGTACAAAGTTATTTTAGGTGGAATCCGTGCTAAACACTCTGCAAAGTTTCACTGAAAGTCTTCATTTGCAATTTTTGTTTATCCTCCAACGCCTCGCTTTCATGACTAGGCACCAGTTTTTTCCCGCGTGTCCGCCATTTGTGAATACAGTGTATAACTACGTTCATATTATTGTGTTGTTTTTAGGTACCAAGATATCCATACTCAGTCATACATTATGGTTTTTGCCAGTCAGCGTTGGCTTGGTGTACGCTTGGATTGTCTCTCTGCTTTGTTGACATGTGCTGTGGCTCTTGCTGCAGTTTTTGTGTCTCAAGATGCTGGTAAATTCACTAGTACATGTAATGAGAAACGGAACTGATTATTCCATATCTATATGTGAGGTTCATTTTTTAAGATTCCTTCCACTCTACGCAATATGCGATGCATTGGAATAGATAAGATGAGATGAGATGATATAAAGCTTGTGTAGACTTAAGCGAGCCTCATCGAAAATGACATAGCTTCTTGAAATGGCAAGGAAAACTTTACAGAGCTAAGAAATCTGGTCCGATTTTTCCAATCTCAACAATAGGGCAAGAGACTGTTTCTTTTCCTACATAAATAGTGCTGCTCTTTATGCTTCGATCTAATGTCCCAAAACTTAGAAAAATATGCTGATATATTAACTCAGCTTAGTGATCGTGTATATTCTTCCCTGTCTGTCTTTTAGTTTTTATCAATCTTGGTTAGGTTACGTAATCAAGAGCGGGTGAAAAGCGTGCAGAGAGATTAGATTAGATTTTCCCTGGTAGGTGTTCGGTTTTGTTTTGATGGATAATTTTGTCTTTCATTTCTTGCAGCGTTAGTTGGACTATCTTTGGTTTACATAGTCCAGACCGTGAATCTGACGCAATTTACTGTCCGTCAGTTAACGGAGGTCGAGGCTCTAATGACGTCAGTTGAGCGAGTGATGACCTACACAGAGCTAGAATCTGAACCTGGATACAAAGTGGAACGAAATCCCCCGGAAATCTGGCCAAATGAGGGAAGTATCGCATTCAAAAACGTAAGCCTCACGTACTATTCAGGGGGTCCTCGAATCTTGAAGAATATTACACTAAACATCAATGGAGGAGCTAAAATAGGAATTGCGGGCCGGACGGGTGCAGGAAAATCTTCCTTCGTGGCGGCACTGATGCGCATGCCTGAAGCTGTCGGAGATATATTGATTGATAATATCAATATAGGCAGTATCAACCTCCGAGACTCTCGACGGGCAATAACTGTTCTTAGACAAAATCCTGCCCTTTTTAGTGGAACAGTGAGGCAAAATCTAGATCTGATGGAGCAGTTTCACGACGCAGATTTATGGCGAGCTTTGGAACAGGTGCAGCTGAAAAGTCTTGTAGAGAATCTGGAGGGTCAGTTGGATCATGAATTGTTGGAGCACGGTGCAAATCTAAGTGTAGGTGAACGCCAGCTTATTTGCTTGGCTCGCGTGCTGCTGCTGCAAAAAAAGATCGTCATCTTGGATGAGCCCACTGCACACGTGGATCCAGAAACAGAGCAAACAATCTGGAAAGTAGTAAGGCAGAAACTGAAAAATTCCACGGTTATCACAGTAGCACATCGCTTAGACACAATTAGAGACTGTGACAAGATTTTAGTTTTAAAAAGTGGGGAAGTACACGTGTTTGATAAGTTTGATGTGCTATTAAATAAAAAAGGAGGAATTTTGAGCTAAATGAACACGTAACAAAAGCAGCCACATAAAACTGTCCTCCACCCACATAATAGACCATTTGCATTATGGGGACATTTTACTTTTACTACCAGAATCCTTTAGAGTTTTGCTTTCTTCTGCAAATTAGGGCTTTTGTTATTCAAATCTCTCTGGGATTACAAAATTTAAAAATGAAAGAAAATACGATATGAATTCTGGTCTTAGTAGTAACAAGACGTCATCGTGCAAATGGCTTATTGCGCTGACATTTCAAGGACGTTGCCCATGCCAGCGCAAATTAATTAGCTTTGTAGTAAATTTTTGTACCCAACCGAGTTCTAGCAGTCAGAGAGAAGTCAACGATGTTTTTCTTACGTGAAAAAAAAATGATACATCCAATCAAAAGCCAAAGCGGGACGTGAGTTTCGCGCCAACTTTCCCGCCTTTCATAGTCGCTTCCAGCGTCCTTGCTCCGTGAGTAGACCTTATTTACGATACCTGCCATTCTTGCAGGCGCCTTGCCCTTAAAAGGACTGATGGGATGAAAGCAATGAAACTCGCAAATATTTGGAAAAACTGAACTAAGGCTGAAAATTTTCAGTCCAATTTTTAACGCAACTAGTCATGCACAATGTAGCACGGCCATAAAAGCCAACAAGATACAATTCTCTCCGGTCGGCTAGTGATTACAAGGCAGCCAAGGTTACCACCCTCTATCCTGGCGCCGGGATTACTGTATCTTCATGAATTCAAGTTCAAGTTCAAGTTTATTGTTTTGCCATAAATCATACCCTAAAAATATCTAAATATTAAAAGTCAATGGCGAGGAATTAAAAAGCCTAAGGGAAACCACAGGGCTTATGAGGAACACGCTCCCTCAACTAATTACCACAACGAAGTATAAACAGAAGTATGCACGCAAAGTCAGTGACAGAGTTACAGTAAATATTAGAACATCTTAGATTAATCAGGGTTAGACTAAAAGAAGAAAATCAAAAGGGAAAACAACGACAATCAAATGAAAATTAAATTAGACGAAGGAGAGATATGCGAGTGCTAAGGTAACCGTCTTGCTTGTATAACCCTCCCTTGCTGTAAACATTCCCTTATGGGATCAATAAAAAAAATGTTAATTTTGAAATTGATTTTGAAATCCAATTAATAAAAGTCAGCCCTTAATAATATGCGAAGCGCCCCGAGTATTTTGCTGTAAACATATTTATTAAAGGAAATTAGCCTAGACTTTCTTCAAGACAGAACATGCCCGATAGCAGAAACAAACGTTTAAAAATTGGAAGAATTTAAGAAAGTTAAAAAATCAAGGCCATTATTATTTATAACCCGAACTAACAACGACAAATTGCAATCCGGCCATGATTTATTAATAGTAGTTCGTTTTATGATGATGCTTGGCTGTCTCTTGAAGTTGTATTTATTCTAAGGGAAGTCACGTGGTCAGTCTTACTGACTACCTTTTAATTTGTTGCTAGTTTAGTCATTTTGCCAATTTGTTATCTGTAACTACAGTACACTTTGAATGTTCTCCGGATGATAATAAAACGGGGAACGGGTATCGAGGAACGAGAACGGGTAAAGGGAAAAAAAATGGGAAAAAAACCTAATGATAGTTAAGGAGAGGTTCAGCTGTAAGGCTCTGGCTGGGAAAACTTATTGGTGTTTTGGATAAGTGGTCGCTTATGAAAGGTGGTTGCACTTGGAGTTTCGATTGTATTCATGAATGAATAGGTTAGGATAGCAAATTTCTAGAAAGCTCTAAATTGTGGAAGTTTTATCATGAGTAGAACGTTATTTCCAATTAGTTTTTGATCTTGCCTAAATCAAAACATTTTTTAGGCGCGCTTATCTTAAAGTTTATTGTCGTTATGGAAACAACAAATTTAATGTGTCAGTTTCTGAGAAGAGATTAGAAGCCAATCGCGAAGCCACCAATTAGATTATATCATATTTGTTATAAACGGTCCAGTAACATTCTGTACTTAACACCCGCCTCTTTAAATTCCCCGTCTCGTTTAATGAAATTTTGGACTTTGAGATGATCAACCTCTAGCCAGGTTAGTTGTGAGTCTTAGTACTGAATACTGATAGAGCTAGCTAATACTAAACTCTAGTAAGACCACCTGTTTTGATTAAAGATAGGTAGAAATTTATGAGAACTCACATTTCCCTAACTTGGTTCGAAATTCTAATTCAGCGTGTCAAGATTTTTTAAAAATAGTTAAATTAAAGGAAATTAAATCAGTTTAAAGTAGTCGAAGGGTAACCAGCAAACCTTGACTAATCTAAAATGCAAGGGACCATTTACACTTAGAAGTGTGAATTTTGAAATTTTGAAATGTAGACAATCTTGCATTTTTTGACTGCAATGTCCTCCTTTATGAAACGTCACAGACTTTGACTTCGTGAATTTGGCGAATAATATCTGATTGTTAGCTTATGGGGCTTTGAAGGGTATATAGTTTTCGTGAGTTCCGTCCAGGAAAAATATCAGTTGCTTTTGGTATTGAAGCCGCGTTAAAAAAGTTTGGTTCCCTGAAACACTGTAAGAAATAAAAAAAAAAAAACAGCCTTGACCTTCTTTAGCCCTGAAAAACATTTAAGACTATAACCGTCATCATCAACTAAATCGTGTACAAACAGAATCCGCCGTCCTTTGCACTAAGGACTTCAGATAGGGTTACCATTGCAGGTGGGAGGAAGGTGTAAAGGTTGTAGACAGGAGTTTAGTGTTTCAGGTTTTTAGATTTAGATTGATTTGATGTCTTGAATGCTTTTTGGTTCTCGAAGACTGCTGTTCATCTGTTCAGGTCGAATCTCATCTAGTGGATGTAAATATTTGACTCTGAAGATGATCACCGCCAGGTTGTCGAAACATCAGTCATTGTCAACAACAGTCCTATTCAGGACTACGTTCACCCGGACGATCATACTCAACCTACTTGTTTATATATTGTATTGCCAAATTCAAGAAATGGGTAAATCAGTAGCCAGTAACCAGGTTCCAGTAAGGAAAAAAAATTGTAGCTTGTCGAGATGTCCAAAATACGAGGGTTGGATAGAAAACAAATTCGCAAATTGGTCTCTCCTCGCCTCGTGACGTTCAAATGCATGTTAGGATCAGGAGCACCACCGTTTTTTTTTTTTAAGAAGTGGACACTGAGGGGCCCCGGAAACATGCTGAAGACACTTCCCAACTGTAACTAAATATAGTTTTCCCGTTTACAGCAAGGAAGAAGATAGCTATTGCAAATGTTCTGAAATCGAGAGAATCATTTTTCCTTAGTGATGTATGCTACATTTCAACTGCACAAATAAATAAAGCACTGCGTAAGTTCCTTGCTACAAAACTCTCCTGCTTCAATTATTAGCATTTTTCAAATGTTACTAAACGATTGGCAAGTTATGAGAACTTACTCATAAACGCTTCGAGTCAGTCCATACAAAATAGCAAATGTTTTCCTTTTCTTTTCTCTCCTATAGTTTCTTTTCACCTTTTACCATGTAAAGCATATTATTATTTCTATTAGATCGTATTCTTTTCTCGCTTTTCCCATTTCACAATTGTCATCCGAAAGGCCCATAAAATTTGTCGCACTTCGGGAGGGAAATGAAAGAAAGCCATTACAAATTTGATATGGACGACAGCCCCAGGGCATGTTTTAACTTCGCTCGATATTGCTGTCCTTTTAAAACAAAAGATTTACGCCTAAAGGGTTGAACGTAATAATAATACCTTTACTTATTACCTTTGGCGATAAGAATTACGGTAATATTACAATAAAAATTCAAAACACTACATATTGTATATACATATCAAATTAAGTTAAATTTAGCACCTCTAGGAATAAACGATTGTTTGTACCTAACAGTGCGTGATACAGGTATTCTGAGGTACGCTGGGTTAGTCTTACAAGATCTTAGATTATGGCCATGATCCACTGGCTTGTCTAAAAAACGTTTGCAAGGATGTGCTTCTGATTCTAGGATACGTTTAAATTCTTTCCTCGTCCAATTCTGACGCCTGATTACAAGTGACTCAACAGTATCCCTAGGGAGACCAATGACATTTAGACATCTATTCTGTACTCTCTGTAGATCTTCTTCGAGGTAAATGGGCAGCCCTCCCCAGACAGGCGAGGCATATTGTAAAACAGGTCTAATCTTAGTGATGTAAGTTGTAAGACCAATGTCCCTGGGGAGATGGGCTGTTCTACAGACCCTAAGATAGTGGATCCGTTTACACGTTTTGCTGACAATACTTGAGACATGTGTATTCCAGTTGAGATCGTTCTGTACATATACAACCAGTAGTTTAAACTCTGAAACCTTCTCCAGTTCAGTAGGCCCGATATTAATAGGAGCAGGAATTGGACAGGACTTCTTTAAGGTGATCCACATATCTTTGGTCTTTTTAGCATTCAGCTTTATTTTATTCTGCACAGCCCATCTTTCCAAGTGAGTCACAGCATCCTGCATTTCACTGACAGAGTCCTTAAAGACAACTTCGTATGGGGTGCAGTCATCAGCGTACTTGCAAGTGGATACTGGTATTCCCCTGGGGATGCAGTGCTCAATATAACTGACATGCACAATAAAAAGTGTAGGAGAAATGACACCGCTCTGGGGTACACCAGCAATCACCTCACCATGTCCGGAAAGGACTCCCGGGAGCTTAACCTGCTGTGTTCTGCCTGATAGGTAGCTCTGTGTCCAGAGGTAGCTCTTGGTGATACCCATACCAGCGAGTTTAGTCAACAGAACGCCATGATCGACCAGATTGAAGGCTTTTCGGAAGTCTACAAAGACCACATGCACGCCATTATATGGACTACAGAGTCTATAGCGTTATACCAGTCTTGTGTGATGCTGGCAATCGCAGTCATAGTAGATCTGTCCGCCGTAAAAGCGTGTTGGGAAGCATTAAGACTTAGGTCCTTTAGGCTTTGCTTAAGCTGGATCCTCACGAGTACCTTGGCGACTTGTGGTAAAACTGAAATCTGCCCAAAAGTTATTGTTTATATCCGTTGAATTATCAACCTTGGGTACCGGGCTGACTAAAGCGTGCTTGTAACTGGTAGGATACTTGGACTGTACTATACTGACACAGACAGTTCTTCGTGAAAACGTTTAAGGAGCCACGCAAGCACACCGTCAACACATGTTGCTTTCCTCGGATTCACAATGTTTGAGCATTCACTTTCTTTCGGTCCTAAAATCGGGCTGGTCGGTTTTTATGAATTGTCGGATAGCATTACTTTTAATTTTAGCACAAGATTACCCAGGGAATATTAGTAATATTTAAGAATTTGTTCATGCTTAGCGTGCGTATATCGAGTTATGGATGCACGCGGGAAGTTTGGAGAGCACGAAAGATGCGTAAGAGTTGCACGAGGCGACAGCCGAGTGCAACTCTAGCTTCTTGAGTGCTCTCCAAACTTCCCAAGTGCATCCATAACTCGATATACGCACAGCTAAAAGCATGAGCAAATTCTTTTATAACATAGCTCACAATAATGCTTGCTTTTTGATTAACTGCAAAATTCTCGTAACGCGCGACACAATAACAAACGGTTCTATTGGCTGATTACGAACACGCCACAATCGTCTAGTTTGAATGAAAATATTCTTTCTGTAAAAGTGAGAAAGAAAATTTGCTTCTTTATTCGTTAACGATCAATGGAAACTAAGCAGAAACAAAGGTAAAAGAGTCTTAAAGTTCACCTAAAGTTAAAACTAACATGTTCATAAGAAGTCGTGGAGTATGGTTTGGATTTGCTCTGTTTGCTGAAAAGATGTCTACGTTTTGCTCGGCGAAATCCAGAAAACATGTTAGCGAAGACGACTGTCATCCTTCTTTAAACTTATATTCATTTACGAACATTGGCTGGTCATTACGGCTTCTTGAGAAGACCTGGCAGCAGTTGTTTTTGTGAGTAATAAATTTATGTCTTCTTGTGTAATTTGTGTTGTTATTGCGATAGAAATTTTCCTGCTTCAGTCGGATTGTCCAGAGATAACAAAGTGCACAACAAATTTAAAAACAACAATAAAAACGGAAATTTTGCCTTTAAGTGTTGTTGATGACCAGTTGGTGTCTATTCTGTTCCCAGTGAATGTCTTTCGGCCAAAATTTGCTGCAGCTGGTCTTCGACAAATTTGCGAACAGCGCGCAACTTGCGAGTTTTTTTTTTTAATTCGGCTTTATTTTTGCACCTTGTTGAATCAGGACCTAAAAGGTCAATGCCGATAGAAAAATTGGGCAGTTCTTCGCTGGTTTCTTCCATATTTTAAAGAGAAGGAAGAGTGCACTTCAGCTTGAATGACGACAACTTTGCAGCCAGGTAAAAAAAAATGCTCACGTCATCTTATTTACGCACGGGCGTGCGTAAATAAAGATTTTGTTCATAGCGGCTCAATAAAGAAGCTAGAGTTGCACTCGGCTGTCGCCTCGTGCAACTCTTACGCATCTTTCGTGCTCTCCAAACTTCCCGCGTGCATCCATAACTCGATATACGCACGCTAAGCATGAACAAATTCTTAATTTTAAAAAGGCCTCGGCGGCACACTTCTATCACACATTTCAGATCTGTTTTCATCTTCTCTGTGGTATCTTGAACAATTAAAGTTTGTATGTTCTATTTATTTCTAATAATTGTCGACATTTCATTGTTGTTCAGGTGACTTTACTGGTTAGAAACTCGGTTTTATTTCAGCTTACAATTCGGCTCCTATTCCGCAATTTTCTTCGAAAAACGATGCATTTTCTGCCATGTGCGACGTTTGTAGGTTAAAACCGGTCAAATCCGTCTTCTTGGCCTATCCTTTGTATTATTTTCATGAATTGTGAATGACCGTGATGAGTTTCCTTTCTTGTCCTTTCTACTTCGGCGAATTGTAGCTAAAGGTCTTCCCTTAATTCTCACCCAAAGAAATATATCGAAACATCATTAATTTTATAGGCTCTAGATATACAGCGGCTCTGGCCGGTAGCAGAGCGCTATACAGTTTAAGAACTGTAATCCTAGTTTATTATGAAGATTCGGCCCCTTAGGCATGAATTTTTTCTTTGGGTTATTCTTTGCATAAATTGTTCTTCAGACGTTTTCAACGGAATTTTTTTTTTTTTGGTTTTTCGACCACCCCAGTTTTTGTTTGTTTGTTTGTTTGTTTGTTTTTACCCTTTGAATACAGCCGTCTCTCCTCGCTCTTCGCCGCCAGGGACATTTCGGAGAAGAGACGTCTCCGCCTGAAAAACAGAAATTCCAAACTGATGACGTATAAATCCGATTCTGTAGAACTGAGTGACGTCACTTTATCACGTGATAGTCCCTATCAAGCTACTCATTCATCACTCTTATCATGCATTATATATAACTGGAGGAAGGGTAGTCTTCAAAAATGTATGATGGCATTACTCACTGAAAAGGTATTTGGTGGATCCTGGCCCATGGACCAGTAAAATCGGTGCGGAATCTGGTCAGGAGCTCTGATTGGTCGATGTAGTAATGACAAAGCCTTAACTGTTGTTTGCGAATGACAGACAAAAGACAAACGGTCACAAAGGTCAAATGTAAGTCAGATAAATCTACTACAAAACAGTCAATATTCGTGGATTATTCTTTAGAAGAAGCTCTTGAGGTTTGCTTCCTCTCGTTCGCAGAAGAACTCAGAACGTTATCATATTCGACCAAAGGAACAGAGACTCGACCAAATCTACACTTGCAGCCACGACTACCAGATAAATTATTTTAACATTCATTTACGTCATCAGTATGGAATTTCTGTTGCTAGGTGCAGATGTCACTCCCGCGAAAAGTCCCCTGAGCAGCGAGGAACCAGGAGAGACCGATGTATTCACAGGCTAATTATTTTTCTAATGGTCGGTCCCAAAGTTTAAACACTTTTTATTTGTCTATGAATGTCTATGAATACGTTCAAGTTCCTCGATCAATTACTAGGTTTATACGATGAAAAACATAATTATAATACACGATATGCCCAAAGAAAGAACTTTTATAAACGACGCACCAGAACGAATATTGGAAAACAATCAATCCAATGTATAGCTGTTGACCTCTGGAAAGATCTTCCCCATCATTTGAAAGACCTCTCAAATTTCTCCTTCCCACGTCTACTAAAAACAACATCTCAGTACTGATTGGAAAATCTGAGACTTGACCAAATTCGTTCTTTTCTCCATATAGTGTATAGTGTCTGTGTTTACCTATTTTGTTGTTTTTTTCTTTCTTGCTTTGCTACTATTTTACTTGTCACTACTGTGTCAAAAATATCATTTTACAGCTAGGCGCTAGCACGAAAACGTTTGTTAATTTAGCTCCTAAACAACCTTGTCATCATAATGCATAATTTTATGTAACAATTTCTTCTTTTCTTTACATTAGCTATCACAAACGTAGTATTCTCTATTTGGATGTGATAATAGAGGTTGTTGTTGTTGTTAAGGTTGTTGTTTATTTTCCCGACATTTATGTTAGTCCAGGGTTTTTCGTCAGACAGAAATTAGTATTACTGTTGACTAGAAATCCAAAATTTATTATAATAGTAGTGGTTACAAAATTGTATCGGTTATCTAATTCTTGTTTTTTCTCTCTTAGACACTACAAAAAATGGCAAAGAATAGGTACAGAAAGATTACCAGCACTACACAAGCGGGAAAAGTGAGCTTTTTCTCTACACTTTTTTTCCAATGGATGAACATTTTACTGAAGACGGGAAGTGAACGAGCTATTGATGAAAATGATCTTTTACCACTTGAAAAAGAAAATACATCTTGCTTTTTGGTAGAGGAGCTTCGGGCAAAATGGGCTGAAGAAACAACTAATAGCAAAAGAAATGATATTAAACCAAAACTTTGGAAAAGTATACTGAAGGTGCTAACTGCGAGGGACATAATGATCCTCATTTCAGCTATGAGTGTCTGGACACTTTGTCGCATTCTCCAACCACTGCTTCTTGGATATCTTGTGAAATCCCTGATGACAGCAGAGCTACACAATATGTATCTTCTCTATGGCAGTGCTATCGCACTAGGGATAAGTGAATTCATCTCTTCTGTTGGCATGCACCACCTTAACTACCAGTGTGAGGTGCTGGGTATCAGAGTAAGCAGCGCCCTTAAAGGATTAGTGTATATGAAGGTAATGAAAAATGTGAATTGTCAGAGGAGACCGTGCATTAATGCATCCATTAAAGTGTATATGACAAGATTTTGTGTTTTGTGTCATTAAGGATGCATGACTATAACGAAGGAATAGCAAAGTAAATAAAGATTATGATGATGACAGGGGAGTTTTCGACAACGACAATCATTCTATATTCTTTCAAATCATTATACGTCATAGTTCAGTTAATTTCCCTGCGCGAAAGGGCCGGACATTTTTGAAGCACTGATTCGCGTGTTTTAAAGACGTAAAATATCATTAGGTTTTGCCAAGATAGGATAAAGGGGACAGAGAAGGCATTCCCCATACACATCCTATTCCATAGGTAATTCGTCTCGAGGTATTTTTAAGACCATAGATCCCAAGGGGGATTAGACAACAGCCAATCACTTGGCGCGAATGTGTTCCGCGTGGATGACCCACGCTCAGAGCCACGCGTCCTTCATGAATTGAAGCAGAAAAAAATGGCGGAAGACGCGGAGAGCGATATTGCTATTTGTTTTGTCGACGAAAACGACTACAGAGAGATTTCTGCTAAAGCTGTGTCAGTGAAACGGAAATTAAAAAAGAATCGCCCTTCCTCTCTTGTATAGAGCTAACAGTACAGCAGGGAAATCCTTAACACACTGAATATTCTCTCAGGGTCATTTATAATTTACAGTTTGAAGAGAGCAATTTCTGGTTTGATATTTATTCTTTTATTAGTCTTTTATTATTCAACAAAAATAACACTTGGCGTCCTACTTGCTTTATTGTACAAACGACCGGTTTCAATAGACCGGCGAAATTTCTTATTTTATTAAAGCACGGAGGTTACGACAACTTCGAGTTAAACTGATTTCACGGGTTGTCAAAGAGTCCAGCGATTCCTTTTTCCCAGGTGAGCGCCGACTCATTTCGCTTCAATATTCAGAAATGCTCCCGATGTCTTTACGCTTTCTTTGCCTTTCGCCCGACATGTTTTGCATGGCGTTTAGTCATGTGAAACCTCCACGAAACAGCCACGCAGCGCGCGTGGTAACTTTATCCTGATTCTAAAAATAACTCGAGACGAATTACTTATGGAAAACGGTGTGTATGGGGGATGTCTTCTCTGTCCCCTTTATCCTCTCTTGGTTTTGCAAGATTTTTTACTAGTTGAAAATTTCGGATACATATTATAAACATACTGAAGAATCAGAAACGACAAAAAGTCTCTCCTTCTCCATTTTCAGTCTTATTCTTTACGCTGCTGAGCGTGAGAGGAAAAGACAAATAACGTCGTTCAAACGTCGACGACGACGATGATGATGGTAATGAGGATGATGAGCTCTAAAACCCGTCCTTGTTACTATTTCGCTTGAGCAAATGTCCACATTTCAATAATAATACTGATGAGGAGGTGAGATAAACCCGGTTAGCCAACCCAGTTAACTCAACTGGCTCGGGCCCCAAAAAGAGCTTATGAGTCTGACGGCTAATATGAAAAGGCGCTGAGATAAGAAGGTCATTGATTAGGTGGGGACACACTCAAATTCGTTATTGGGCGATCGCAAATAAAAGTTAAGAACCTATGATAGAGAACGTTTGTTCAAAATCAAACTGGAAATATAAGTATAACTTAACGTTTTGTCCTTTTAAATCAAAATAGATACATAACGAAACATATCGAAACACGAAGTGCACTGCATTAGTATAATTTTTACGACACTCTTCGGTCTTTGTCTGGCTTTGCGTTGTTCGTTGGGGAAAAGTCGCTTGTGAAAAAGCTCCTCTTTTACATAACAACTTCATGTAAAGACAAATATACGATCTCTGGCTTTCTCTTGCAGACGCTTCTTCTCAGCAAGGATTCATTGCTAAGACTTTCATCTGGTCGAGTTATTGATCTAGTATCGAACGATGTTCAGCGATTGGAGGGCGATACGTTTTTGTTTCTTGTTGATGCAGCACGAGGTATTATAGAGCTACTAATAGTAACATTTTTATTGGTCTATTTTATCGGATGGCAGGCTGTAATGGGCATTATCTTACTGTGTATAACTCTACCATGTTACCTTGGGTTCGCCCATGCTGGAGCAGTACTGCGCCTGCGTACAGCAGAGGTTTCTGATCGCCGCATCACGTTGATCAACCAGGTTGTTACTGGAATTCGCGCCATCAAAACAAATGCATGGGAAGATGAATATAGAAAAAAGATAAAGAACACACGAAGGTAAGAAAAACTTTACGATTTTGCTTAAAGACCAAAAATAGTTACTGAGCAAGAACAAATTTTGCATTAGGCACAACCTGGATAAAGGCTTTGATCAAAGTTTAGGTGGATTTAGTAAATATTTAATTCTATATTCTTATATGACAACAAAATCTAGTTAGATTATAAAGGAAATCATTCAGATGAAGTGTAAATCTAGCTTTGGAAAAGATGGAATAGATAGTCAAATTGTTAAATATGTGGCCAAACTGTAAAAGGTTTGAACTCAGGAGTCATTTCAAAAGTAGGTTGAGTTTGATCGTCCTAGGGAACATAGTCCTGAATAGGACTGTTGTTGTTGACAGTGACTGACGTTTCGAAAACCTGTGCGGTAGTCATCTTCAGAGTCAAAGTGAGTTGTATCACGCCAGTTGATGGTATTATCTAACAGTTAATGAATGAGGCTGAGTATCTTATGAAGAATTATGGAGATCGAGGAGGGTGTTATCCGAAGAGGCCGTAGGCCGAGGCGGATAACACCCTCCGAGATCTCAATAATTCTTCATATGATACGAAAGCCGAATTCATTAATTGTTTTATTATTTATTCAAAATAATTCCTAGTTTAAAAACATAGCTAAAACATGCTTACCATTATCGATCCATCGACGTTCAGTTCATCTTCGATAGCGTACGTTTAGGTTTGTCCAGCTCCGCAAATATTCTCCAAATAGCAGATGTCGCTCTCCGAGTTGTCTTCTTTCTGTTTTTGCTATGTTTTAACTATTACTTCGCCTAGTTCCAGCTGTAGTTGAAACGAGTGAAGTGTCGGCCATTTTTGTTTTCACAACCAAAACAACTAAACCTCGTCCCCAGGTCTTCTCAGTTAACAGTTCATTAACCTGTAGAAGGCTGCATTTTTGACGTCATTTCCTCGTTAAACACAAAGTTGGTCACCAGCATTTGGTTATGGTGAATTAAACGTGTGCTTTTAGCCAATCAGTATAGGGGAAATATTTTGAATGAATAATAAACTCTGGTTATTGATCTGATTGGTCAATTAATTACGTCGCGATGTTATTGGTGGTCTGTCAGTTAAGCTGTGATGTTATTGGCTATAAAGACTCGTAATGTAATTGGTGCGTTTCGATCCGTTTATTGTCACAGTTAAACAGTCGTCTATGGTTAGTCAAATTGAAGACCAATAACATCGCGACGTAATTAATTGACCAGTCAGATCAATAACCAGAGTATAATACCATCAACTGGCGTGATACAACTCACGTTGACTCTAAAGATGACTACCGCACAGGTTTTCGAAACGTCAGTCACTGTCAACAACAACAGTCCGATTCAGGACTACGTTCACCCGGATGATCAAACTCAACCTACTTTTCATGTGGCCCAACATATCACATCACCACTATCTCATAATATCCTATCAAGAAATTAACATGGTTTTAGAAGTAAGAGTGCTATAATTGAACTTGTTGATAAAATAACTAAGGCTATTGAAAACAATAAGTAGATAATTAGTGTTTTTCTTCATTTAGCGAGGGCATTAATTGACACTGTTAACCATGATTTAACTATGATATTCTTTTGGAAAAAATAGTGTCAATTTTTTCATCATCTTCTTAAATACTTCCAACGAAATAGACAGCTTTATTTCGTTTGGTTAATTGTTCCAAATATTTGTTACTTTATTTCGTGTCGAGTAAACAGCTAGACTTGTCCTGTTGAACTTTTTGTGAAGATAATTAAACCTCCTTGTAAAATGGTTGTGGACTTGAATATTTTCTGAGCAAAAATCATTGAAATATTCAGGGAGTGATTTTGACCTAACATGAAAGCAAGCACAGCTGACAAGAAAGTCGTTAAGTTGGTTAATATCTAATATATTAAGTTTTTGAAAATGTGCACGAGAGGGAGCATTATACTGCGACGAAAATGTTATCAGAACTCGCAATACTTTTTCTGGGGATTTAATAATTTGTCAAGTTTTGTGGGATAGGTATTTGCCCAAACAGCATTACCATAATGAAGATATGGATAAATCAAGCTATTATATAACATTTTCAATAGTGGTTGACCGACAAAGAAGCGAGTTCTACAAAGAATTCCTATAGTTCGAGAGCAATGATGCAATGAACCCAGTCTGAGGACTTTTTCATGTTAGGTGCGATGCTAGTCAATTATTATTCCAAGAAACTTCGCCTTCGGCTACTTTTTGGATCACTTGGTTACTTAGCTTAATAGACAAATTTGTTTTTAACTGTTTCTTGTGTGATTTGAATACCATAAAATGGAATTTTTTTGATAATGAGTGTAAGTTGATTTAGACTAAGTCGTTTTTGAACATGGGATAAATCTTCATCAAACATACCTTCAAGTTTTTTAATAACGTTTCCTGCGCAAAATAAATTTGTATCATTCGCGAACAGACTAAAAGATAGCTTATTAGTAGACTTTATTAGAACATTAACATAGATTGAAAAAAGGACCAACGACAGATCCCTGTGGAACACCACATATAGTAATTTGATTATAGTAAGTTGTTTTTGAAAATTTAATAGATGCTGTAGATCAATTAATTGTCTTAATGTTTTGTAATTAAGGTCATAGGGGGACTGCTTAGTAAAAGCCTGTAAAGGTTTGTTTAGTCCTCTTCCATCTATATACGATTGTTTTTAAACTGCTGTAACTTGTATTTACAGAAATGGAGATAAACTTACTTACTTATCATATGCACTACCATAAAGGCCTGCAAGGCTTTTCTCCCAACCCCCATTCTCCTGTTTGAAGACTGAATAATGAAAAGGAACTTTCAATGTTATATAAGGTGGTTTTGCTTCCAAGGCAATTTTATCATCATTTGCTTGGTTGCACATAAGCTAAGCAATAGCACCTTAGGCCAAGAGCCATGCCATTTTGTCGAACATTTCCACCTTCCTAACATGACTGAAAAAATATTTTTGTTTTATTTATAGTGATGAAATCAATTTCATCCGTAAGAAGAGTGCTGTTATGTCGGGCATTGCTGCTCTGGAGTACATTTCAACACCAACGGCGACCCTGGTGACTGTCATCACTCTTGTACTAACTGGTCAATCCTTGACACCAGTTAACGTCTTTATGTTACTCTCCTTTTTCAATCTGTTGAGGCTGGGCGTCTGTATGAACTTTTCCTACGCCTCCATCCAAACCTACGACGCTTATGTCTCACTGACCAGAATACAGGAATTTCTTCTTTTGAAGAACCTCAATTCAACTAACACCGCCATAAATCATCGAGGAGGAAGAGAAGACATGTTTTCACCTGGAATCTCAACAGAAAATCAGGAAGCAACTATCTTACGGGTAAGAAATTTCAATCAGCATCAATTACAAAATGATTCGAAAGATGAATCCTTTCCGCGAGATATTGATTTTACCGCTAAAAAGGGAAGTTTGATAGTCATAACTGGATCAGTGGGCAGTGGCAAATCTACTCTTCTGTCAGCAGTTGCTGGTGAGATACCAGACCAGAACTGGGCCGTAACCTACAATGGAACTGTTGTTTATGTGCCACAGATTGCTTGGATATTCTCTGGAACTATTAGAGAAAACATTTTGTTTGGCGAACAGTACGAAGAATGGAAGTACAACAGAGTCATTGAAGCATGTGCGCTGACTGAAGACATCGAGAAATTTCCAGACCGTGACCAAACGATCGTTGGAGAGCGTGGCGTGGTGCTTAGTGGTGGCCAGCGGGCAAGAGTAAGCTTAGCACGGGCAGTCTACGTCGAGGCAGACGTTTATTTGCTGGATGATCCTTTTAGTGCTTTGGACTTGAAAGTTACTCAGCACATCTTTAGGGAATGCATCAAAGGCTTACTTGGGCAGAAGACCAGATTGCTAACAACTCATCATGAACGTGTCATACGAGAAGCCGACGACATAATTGTATTGTGCAAAGGCCGGATATTGGGTAAGGGAAGTTTAACTGAGCTAAAAGAAAACGGCAAGCTGAATACTACTGTAGATTCGCTGTATGAGAAAGCCAACGAAGCGGATGGTCGCGTTGGTAAAGAAAATGAAGACGACGATCAGATTACTGACTTGAGTGGAGGAAGTGTACCCCATGAAGTACAGGGTCTCAGCTTATCAGAAGAAGATCGCGCCATCGGGGCGGTTTCATCATACCTCTACTGGAATTACTTTACAAGCGGAGTACCTTCGCTGGTAATCATTGCGGGGATTTGCTTGTGTGTTATCAGTCAAGGTAAGGTCTTACGATAATAGGAATTTAACCTTACCTTCATGGTACAAAAATATAGCCTTTCAAGTAAAGGGTGTAAAGCTCAAAACTCCTTCAGGGTAAACCTATGATAAGTTGGGTGACTCTGAATGGAACAAAATCTGTATTATCCCCTCGTCTGTGGTTAGCTGTTAATCGGCTCCCTTAGTAACCATGCTCCAGCGATGTAGATTACTGTTTTGTGTGATGTACGTTAGTTGATCCTGTTGATCTTATAATCATCTTCTTCAACTGCATACCGTTGAATCCCACACTTAGCTTTCCTTCTAACTTTGGCTTCCTATAATCAAAAATGATGTCACCCTCGTACTCCTGCTGTAAGATCCTGTACCTAGTGTAAACGACACTTTTTTCGCCTCACCTAACATGAAAGAACACTACTAACACTTCAAACGAAGAAATAACTAAGATAATGGAATCGGGAACGCCAAGCTTGCCAGTCACGCCATTGCCTACGATCGAGGAAACGAGTTTTTGAATGCGCTCATTCCAGACAGTCAACCCAAAAAGTGAAGGCGTAAGAAAGACCGCATCAAATGTTAATATTTCTGCTCCGGCAAATTTCGATCGCAGTACAGACGATTAAAACCACTGGATAAAGCGTTACGAAGTAGGCAACAACGAAACTAGATAAGTTGTCAGATGAAGTGCGCATTAATAGCGAAGCTTTTGCGAGCAACTGAGCCTCCATTGCTTTAGAAACTGGAAAACTATCAATGCGAGAAAATGTTACTATGACGTCAACTTTCACCCATACGTACACCAGTATAGACTCTCGGGGAGAGGGAGGGAGACTGCCAGGGACGCGAGGGGAGCCCCAGACATGCAGCCTGCGTTTGTTTTGGTGGAAAGAGACAGAGACGACCAATGGAGTTGCTCCAGTAAAAATCTTGATCGGGGGGGGGAGGGTGTCTCCGAGGAAATCTGTGGTACAGTCCGCCTGCCAATATGACGTCACGTCTCGCGTTAGAAACTTTCAAAATGGTGAGCAAAATTGTCACCGAAGAGACGGATAAAAATTTCGATTTTATCACGGAAATACTATTCCGATATCTTGGATTTGGAGATTTTAAGGTTTCTATTGTCATAGAAAACTAGACTTAAGTACTGTTTTGGAATGAAATGTCCAGTGGTGTACTGAATTTTAAAGATTCCTTTCTATCGTCGAGCAAATTTTACGGGCAATTATACCGACCGGTCACACTTTTGAGGGCCAGTACACAGCAAGATTGAGGAGTTTAGACACAGCAATGGTAGGTTCATCAAAGGATGTATTATGCTTTGCATTGTGCGTATTTTCAGCTCTTCAGAGCTAGTGGAACCCCATATCATACCTCTCAAAGTTCGCTTAGCTGTAACGTTGAAGAGGAAGCTATTAAATGACAGGTATTTGTGAGAGACTGTGAGCATTGAATCTTGTTGCTTTACCGCATTTTAATACTGTATTGGGCATACACCTTTAATTGTGTAATTTAATCCCGAAAACCAATAAAACGTTTCCTTAAATTATTTTTGGGGGGGCAAANGGGTGTCTCCGAGGAAATCTGTGGTACAATCCGCCTGCCAATATGACGTCACGTCTCGCGTTAGAAACTTTCAAAATGGTGAGCAAAATTTTCACCGAAGAGACGGATAAAAATTTCGATTTTATCACGGAAATACTATTCCGATATCTTGGATTTGGAGATTTTAAGGTTTCTATTGTCATAGAAAACTAGACTTAAGTACTGTTTTGGAATGAAATGTCCAGTGGTGTACTGAATTTTAAAGATTCCTTTCTATCGTCGAGCAAATTTACGGGCAATTATACCGACCGGTCACACTTTTGAGGGCCAGTACACAGCAAGATTGGTAGGTGGTAGGTTCATCAAAGGATGTATTATGCTTTGCATTGTGCGTATTTTCAGCTCTTCAGAGCTAGTGGAACCCCATATCATACCTCTCAAAGTTCGCTTAGCTGTAACGTTGAAGAGGAAGCTATTAAATGACAGGTATTTGTGAGAGACTGTGAGCATTGAATCTTGTTGCTTTACCGCATTTTAATACTGTATTGGGCATACACCTTTAATTGTGTAATTTAATCCCGAAAACCAATAAAACGTTTCCTTAAATTATTTTTGGGGGGGCAAACCAAGCGGAGATTAATAATATTGATGATTAAGACTAATGTACCAAAGGCAAGTTTAACTTTCGCCAGTGGGTCACGGGTGAGTGTTGGGTGTATGTTAGTACAGTACAGTGTGTGGTTGGCATGATGTCAACTAACATTGAAACATCAATTCAAATATACATTTGAGGAAAATTAGCTCAAGCGCGTATTTCAAAGTTATTTCGCATTATCTCGGGTTCAACGGGCCGACTCGATGTAGATATTGATCGAACTTGGTGGAGAATTAGGAGATCAACAGAGGCCCACACTCGAAAGGAATGATATGAAGTTAGGCCCGTTTAATTAGCAAAAAAATAGATGAAAGATAAACATGTGTGATCTGTAAATGGAACCTCCCATTCTGGAGACTAGACCTTGCCTATTTTAGAGAAAAAAAGATTTAAGTTTTGATGACCTTGCTGGTTCCGTGAAATAGATGGAGATCCTGCAATACGGCCCGCAAAACAAATTGACACAATTATACAATCACAGACACAAACTATCAAAACGGTTTACAAAACTATGGCAAACCAATTGCAGCAATATTCAATTCGTTTAATTTTTTAAGTAGTTTTGTATTCTGTGTTTAACTATGCGTTTAATATTCAACTTCGCATTCAACATTCAACTATTCATTTTATATTCAATTCCTTACTCACCCATTCAATTGTCTATTCAACAATTTAAACCATTTATTCAACATTCAACTTTAATTTTTAAAACATTCAACTATTCATTCAACTCTTTTGAGCCCTCACTACTTCTGGTCAGTGACACAGATCATTGCTTGTTAAAAACATGACGGCGGCGGCTAGAATGTCGGCTACGGAAATAGAAGCTTATGAAGATGACACAAGGTACCTCTGCGATGTGGAGTCTGACTTTCCGAGGTTTCTTGACTCGGTTCTTCGAAGAACTGACCAGATTTCCCAGACGAAAGTAGATGAAGAAATTGTGGAGCAGCATATTGTCGCTGTCGATCAAACGGTGCGTTTCCTTCTTATACCCAGGTATACCCAGAGACAGCAGTTCGAGTATTAACGCCTATGACAAAGAAACCTTAGATAATCTCTCATCAGCGTTAAGTGATGTCTTATCAGCCCTGCAGCAATGTTTAGCCAGAGCAGCCGTGTCTCCCACCACAATTGTATATGACCCAGAGGGCCCCCCTCCTTCAGAAGAAGATAACAACGTTGTTGTCGAACTAATTTCTTTAGATAAAAGGCTTTCAATAGAGTGCTATGTGATGGATGTTGTTGACCCTCTAACACAGTCCACTCAACTGGGTATCGATCTTTATATTCAAGCTGGCGAGGGATAGAATGGAATGATAGATCTCCCTGGAACAGAAAAATACTTCAAGAATTCAGAAGAATTGTGAAAAGACCTCACCAGGTCTAGGGCTTGAATATAAAGATCGATACCCAATTGAGTGGATTGTGTTAGAGGGTAAAAACGTGCTTAACATCTTAAAAATAAATGGGGCTTTGGATTGAATGTATTTTTAATTTTTACCTTCTTGTGCTCTTTCAAATGCCCCCACCAAATGTAATATAACTGAAGCTGCTGTCAAGATTCTTCTGTCATTCAAAGCTGGTTTCATTTTTTGTTTATTTTTGTGGTTGAGGAAAGCCTCGAATATTTTACAGTCAACGGGATTCATCGATGACTGCGGTTTTTGAAATTTCATGAAGGCTTACAGCAAAGTACAAGAAAAGTCTTGGGCATTTCTGGCCTCGCATACTGATTTCAGGAGCTGCATCTCATTTGAGCTAAAGTATTTTTTTTGTCTGGTTTTTCTATGAAATTGTGATGTCGGGAGTAATTATCTCCTTTCACTCATAATGATGCATGTTTGGCCTTCTATCAATCAGATTTGAAATATACTGGCTTATAAATAAACAACATGTTTTCCTGTTGCAAATGAAAAGAACAAGTTTTAGAGAATGCACAGTTACCGTATTGGTTGTAAAAGGAAAGCTTTAAGCAAAAGTCTTTCTTCAGGGTATCATCCAGTATTCGCAAATCCAAACGCAAAGCTGGTTGAAAACACAAACAAATTAAGAAAAACAAGGTTTCAACAGGGTTTTTTAGAAACAGCTTTGCTGTGCAGACACAGGAATATGTCTAACAGCATGAATCTTTGACCCTTTCCTTCCTGATGTTCTATTTAGTGATGCTGGTTTCTTGCGATGTGTGGCTGTCGCTTTTGACAAGGAAGTATCCCGAGGATCAAAAGAGTGAGACAAACCTTATCATCTACGCTTCTTTTGTCGGGGCATCTTTCATATTTCTCATCATTCGGGCTTTTGGCTTCTTTATGGCATCATTGCGATGTTCTGAGCGACTTCATGATAAAATGGTGGCTGCTGTTCTGCAAGCACCAGTCGTTTTCTTCGATTTAAATTCAGTGGGAAGAATTATGAATCGGTTCTCTAAAGATATTGGCTGCATGGATGAAGTACTACCCAAAAAGTTTCTGAGAGCGGTACAGAGGACCTTGTTGATGTTCACCTCGATTCTTCTGCCAACCGTCATAAACCCTTGGCTTCTGTTTGTTGTTGTGCCAATAGCCATAATAGCGGGACTGATCTCCAGATATTACTTAAAGACATCTAGGGAACTACAAAGGTTGGAATCAGTTAGTCGCAGTCCCGTCTTTTCTCACTTTTCTGAGACTCTGGATGGACTGGACACAATTCGAACTAGAAAAAAGGAAGAAGATTTCTTGGATGAGTTTTGCAGGTATTATTTATTTGTTCATTATTTGTTGAATAGTCTTATTTTGTAATCTGAATAGCTGAAGACTGAAATAAAAACCTGGATGAATATTAGGCACTGAAAATAGAATAAAACGTATTCAATTATGTAGGAAAGCAGCCTCTCACTCAGACGTTCTTTTGGCTCGTCACGCAATCCTTCCCAACGAACGTTCGTGGGGCAGGAAAGCGTGAGAAACCTCTAAGAACGTCTGTGTGGGAGGCTGGTAGGAAAGCCAACTGGTTCAAAAAATTATTTCCGATAAAGCGTTTCCTATGGGATTGATGTCTATACTATATTAACAAGTAGCGAGGTGGCACCAGCGAGAAAAACATGGAAAAGGGCATAAACATAGTAAAGCCGCCTTGAGACGTTCACGCGGGATACGTTGGTGTATGTAAAGACTATTTGAATGAAGTTGGACAGTTGAGTACATGGGTTGGAATTTCCAGACACGGATGCAACTGAAGTGCAATGTTGTCTTAAATGAGCCACACAGGTTCTCGAACTAATATCATATCTGTCTGAATAGCACAGTTTTCTTATTATAGGTACAGCTCAAATATTTTTTGAAAGAAAAAAAACTCATAACGGTCAATACAGTTTAAAAGAGTTCTTGAAAATGGCAAATTTATTTAAAGTTCACTTAAAAAAATGAACAAGCACTGAGAATAAAACTTTGAATGAATTTTGATGAAAAAAAAAGAGTAACGGAATTCAATTTACAGTAGTTTATAGCGGAGCCCCATCCGAGAAAATTTGGTAATCACGTGACCGTACACCGAGCGAGCGAGCGACCGTCCGTCTGCAAAACATGCATACCAATGTAAAATAACTCAATCAACAGGTATGGCAACCCAAATGCAATCCAAGGTTTTATTTGGAAGGAAATCACATGGCCGCCCGGACTTTTAGAAAGAAAAAACAACAACAAAGTCGTGTCTTTTTCGGCATTATTTTTTATGTTTACACTGACGTAGACAACAGAGAAAGAGCTAGAGCGAGTTATTAAAAACAAACGAGACGAATTTCATAGGAAAAAAAACTTGGAAACTCAAAGCGCCGGTGACAAAATGAGAAATGCTAGCGGCCAGCAAGGTGAAAATGAACGGCAGTGAAAAATAAAAGCGTCCATGTACACAGGAAACAAAATATTGGGTAAGCACATACGACAATTCCTCCTTTAAAATAATGTGTATTAAACTAGGACGTTTGACGTTTTAGTCGTACAAAACAGCGTTGTAATCGTGCAAAACAACGGCAAGGGAAAGACAAAAAACGTGCTGCACGTGCAAATTTGTTTTTTGCCAGTTAGAAGAAAAAGTGTGCTGCACGTGCAATTTGTTTTTTTGCTAATTAGATCAATTAGTCTTGAAGCCATTTTCATTGTCGTCCCCGTTTAGCATTACACGATTTCATTTTTTTTTGTTTACATGTATTACTAACCAGAGCTTCGCTTTTAGCCCTGGCTAAATCTATACATTATCAATAAAATTTATGAAACTAAGAAGCACCGAATCAGGAAGTTTTAAAAGCTTTTACACCGGCAATACGGGTTGATACTCTTAACCGGCCCTCAATTTAACGAACATAGACAACAGATATACTAAGATGATCGTTTAAAGTAGTTTTAACTCTGTAATCGAGTCATAGACCTACACTTGCCACAACTCTATTTCAATGCCTTGGAGGACATAGAGGAGCACTCTTGCAAATTGCTGTATTAACCCTCGTGGTGTGCTATTTAGCGATTTCTTAATGTTATTTTTTCCTTACCTAGTAATATTTAGCCCAGTTTTTTCAAAACATAGTCGGTAGTGCGCATTTTATATCTAGTCCGTGTTTTATACGCAGTCCGAAGTCCGTAGTCCGCAGTCCGTAATGCACAGTCAAAGTCCTCCTCTTCTCTACCGCATGACCGTACTGAAATCAGTTTGTGAATTCATCGTTGCGGAGTGAAAATTGCTTCAATGTTTATTGCATATTTAAATAGTATTTCGCAACGAGTCGTCTCTTCCTTCGGTAAGTTTACAAGTGAGCTCACTAGTTCCATTATAAATGAACTCGTTGGTCAGTTTGATTTGTTATGGTGAACCTGTCGATTCGACAACTGTGAACTCGTTGCTTAGGTTAAAAAATAAATCCGGTGCAGCTATTTATGGCTTAAAACACAATTTCAAAACAAAGTAACATAAAAAAAACAATTATCCAGTCAAAATTACTCACACCGGCTTCCTATTCTATCGATTTGCCCCGGGCGATTTGCACTTTGCCTTTCTAGAATCTACGCAGTATCTTTAGTTTGTGTTCGACCCAACCTAAGTTGTATGTGATTTGAAGTTTCAGCTGATAAAATCGCACAATTTTTCGGAACGGGCACGGGATACGGGAAAGTTAAAAAACATGCCAATTTGTGACTACGATGAAAACGAAATTCGACCGAATTTTAGACGCTGGCTGACTACGTCATCCCGCGTAACAAGTGGCTCAGGTAGCCTACTCGATCGGTATTGGGAGTTAGGTGCCAAAAGTGGAGTGATCTGAGACTAAGATATAACGAGTCTTCTTTCATGTACAATGAAATCCCCGAATGACTTGACATTCTTGGATCCTGTTAGAGTAAAACTTAGGCTACTGGATCCGATATGATATTATCCTGTCATGACGGCCGATCCCTGCCATCTCCGGCTTTGTCGGAATTTTGTTATATCGGGATTTATCCGTACTTTTATTCAATTACAACCCCGTTGGTACGGCAAGATGTTTTGAAAAGTAAGTTGTTTCTTGTATAAGAAGGTATTTTCGAGGCTTTTACCCATTAGTCCTCTATGTACGTCTGCAACGTTCACAACAAATTCGGCTCCAAGACTCTGCCTAAGATACAAAAGATTGCTCTCAATAAGTTGGAACAACTGACAGCCAGCGAGTAACGTACTGGCAAAGTTTAGGCCTCATCGACTGTTGAAATGCTGGATAGAAAATGTTACATTGCATAAGATCCGAGAAAGATACAACTTTAATAGCTACATCGTGCTTTTTATTCTTTCTAGGTATCAAGATATTCATACTCAGGCATACATTATGGTTTTTGCCACTCAACGTTGGCTTGGTGTACGCTTGGATTGTCTCTCTGCTGTTTTGACGGGTGCAGCGGCTCTTGCGGCAGTTTTTGTGTCCCAAGATGCTGGTAAATGTATATAGTTGTAAATGTTATCAGAAATGTAAAATAATAATTAAATGTTAATACGTTTTAGGACACCTGCGTAATTTAAAACGACTGACGCTTCTTGAACGAATGGTTAGGTTGCCAAGTTATATTTACTTTCGTTGGGGCAGCTACAAGATGAGGTGAGGTGAGACAATATGAATTTTGTTCCAGTTTGTAAAAGCAACCAAATTCTCAAGTTCTCGGACGTGCTGGAGCGCCAGGGAGACCTTCGGCAATAATAATAACAGGTCAAATTTCTCCAATCTTGATAATTTGAAAGAAGATTTTTACTTTCCTTACATGACATAATGTCCAAAAAACTAAAAAATAATTGTATTTTGTATTTTACGAACCATGGCTTATTATCCGTGTTTCCCTTCGTTTTTGTTTCAGTTTTTGCAGGCCTTGGATTGGTTTACGTTGTCCAAAGCGTGTCGATGACTCAATCCGCATTTAGAAAATCAGTCGTGGTCGAAACTCTGATGACATCAGTTGAGCGAGTAATGACGTACACCGAACTTGAATCTGAACCTGGATACAAAGTGGAACAAAATCCCCCGATAAACTGGCCAAATGAGGGAAATATTGTATTTAAAGACGTATCCTTGAGGTACTATCCGGGTGGTCCTCAAAGTTTAAAGAATATTACACTTAAAATCAATGGAGGAGCTAAGATCGGAATTGCAGGCCGAACGGGTGCAGGAAAATCTTCTTTCGTGGCGGCACTAATGCGCATGCCTGAAGCCGACGGAGATATCTTGATTGACAATGTTAATATAAGTAGCATCAACCTCCAAGAATCTCGACGGGGAATAACCGTTCTCGGTCAAAATCCTGCCCTTTTTAGTGGATCGTTGAGGCAAAATCTTGATGTGATGGAGCAGTTTCAAGACACGGAACTATGGAGTGCTTTGGAAGAGGTGCAGCTGAAAAGTCTTGTAGAAAATTTGAAAGGTCAGTTAGATCATGAATTATTGGAGAACGGTGCAAATTTAAGTGTTGGAGAAGGGCAACTTATCTGCTTGGCTAGGGTGTTTTTGCACCAAAAGAAAATCATCATTTTGGATGAGCCCACAGCACATGTGGATCCAGAAACAGAGCAAAAAATCTGGAACATAGTGCGCGAGAAATTGAAAAACTCCACCGTTATCACTGTTGCACATCGTTTGAACACAATACGAGACCATGACAAGATTTTAGTTTTAAGGAATGGGCAGGTCGATGGGTTTGATAGCTTTGATGTAGTAATGAAGAATAGAAATGGAGGCTCAATTTCCGATTGAAATGGACCAGCGGCCCGTTTCTCGAAATTCCCGATAATGAACGGGCCTGGGACTCGTTTCTCGAAAGTCCCGCTAACTTTTCGTGCGCCAACCTCGTCCCCAGGGTGCTTTTCTCCAAGGTCAAGGAAAAGCGGCCTGGGGACGAGGTTGTTCGTGCGCGAATAGGTGTTCTATGTTTGCCGTAGATTTGCATTCAACTTCAAAGTTTCGTTAATTTTGAAAATGATATAATAGAACTATCAGTTAAAGAAGCAAAATTGACGGGTTTCTGAGCTAGGGACTCTGCTATTATTATTCCACAGGTTTTGATTTTAAAATGTGCCTTCGGACCTGAAACGTTACCGGGTCTTTCGAGAAAGAGGGCCCCCTGGAAAGTTGTTGTTGTTTACATTCAAGTTCGCGGTTTCAAAAGGTTTGAAGATAATATGATAAAACTGTCAGTTAGCAAAACAAAAAGGGCTGGTTTGTTTTTATTCGCGTTTTTATTCTTAAGATTTTGATTTTGGGCCCGAAAAGTTACCGATACTTTCAAGAAACGGCAGGTAGCAAAAGCCGCCGCATAGACCTGTCCTAAATGCACATGGTTGCAGTGACACAAGGACGTTTTTATTGCCATGGTAGCGTTAGATAGATCGGGGGGACACTCAGGGGAAGTTTGGGTAGAGGTTTGCCGCCGAGGCCTCCAAACCCTGACACTATTTCCCGGGGGGAGTACTCCCTTATGTAAGCTATATAGCTATAAAGTCGGAATCGGGCATGGTTTTCGAGGATACCTACGGGAGTGTATGAACGTATTTATCGTTTCAATTCTAGATGAATAAGAAAGAAAGAAAGAGAGATATGCGATTTATGCTCCTTGTTCCTTTAGATAGTATTATTGAGTCGGTTATTGCTGTTGGTGGAGTCTCGCTTTGGGTGAGCTTTGTTTGCTGGGATACCCAATAATGACAATTCCAGTTTGGGATAAATTTGGCCACAAGAGTGACCGTTTATTTCATTTAAGCATATCAAGCTAGGAAAGTCCAGATACACAAGAAGATTTATCCCAGCAAAGGTGAGGGTACACCCGCCACAGCCCGGAGCAACAAACGAGTGACAGGGCAGCCCCACCCAAGGCCAGAGCAAGAGAACCACCAACAAAAAACTTAGTAATGTACATGTGTAGCTATAAATATGGATCAATTATGTCATAGGAAAGGTGCAAGCTTAAATGAATGAGATTGCTTAATTGACCCTATTGGATTATAATTATCACCCGGTCGATTTTACAAAAGAAATCTTTTTTGTTGGCGTTCTAATCTAAGTAATGATGACATAATTTCTTTATAGAGGCCAGGTCTGAAAACGGGTAGAGATTTTAGAGGCCAGGGGCCGGTTTCTCGAAAGTCGGGATAATTAACGGTTCCGGTAAGCTGTCTCCGGTTACATTAAAAATCGAGGTTTCAATGGTTAATGTCGTCTTTTTACTGGGTACGGTTTGTTGAGCGGTTAACGGGCTCGTTGGACACTGAGGCCCGTTTCAAACGTCGTGCTACTGCCTTAGCGAACTCAATTGATTGAGTTAAATTCGACTTTAGCACGGTAGTAGCGCGACGTTTGAAACCAAGTCGTGCTACTGCCGTGTAGCACGGCAAGCCTTGCCGTGCTACACGGCAGTAGCTCCACTTGGTTTCAAACGTCGAGCTACCGCCGTGCCGAACTCAATTCATGAATTATAAATACATTAGAATATATTTAAAAAGTTTGCTAAACCGTTTCTTTATTTTTGTGTTTTGTTTTTGGCAACAGCCGTTCCATTCGACTGTCATTGTGTGAATTAAATTCGACGTCTGAAACTAATATCGTGCTGCAGTCGAGCTACAGTCGAGCCAGCTTAGCATGGCAGTAGCACGACGTTTGAAACAGGCCTAAGTCTCGGGGATATGAAAGATACCGGGTCCTTTTTTATTATTGTCGTGCGCTTTCTAATAAACGGGTCCGGTTATAAGAAGCCGGGCTCGGTTGCTCAGAAACGTAAAATGATCCTAAAGA